GCACACAACAACAACAACAACAACAACAACAACAACAACAATCCTATCTCATTAGCCAAAAGCAGGCCCACACTTCCCATTGAAATACTAATCAATTTATATTTGTTAAAATTGTTCTTCATTTTAATTATTGTATTGTTTTAAGTAGTTTTTGCACTACAAATAAGATATGTGCAGTGTGCATAGGAATTCATTCATTTTTTTTTTCAAATTATAATCCGGCCCTCCAACAGTTTGACGGACTGTGACCTGGCCCTCGGTTTAAAAAGTTTGAGGACCTCTGCTTTAAGAAGACACTGCTGTTATGTGATTTCAGCTGCCACGAAATCGCAGGTTCGGAAGCCCACCGCGCCTCGCTACTCCAGAAGGCCAGATCAGGACACGGACAAGTTAAAAAGCAAAAGCGGAGGTTTTTATCCTTCCTGGCCAGAAAGGATGTCGGTGGAGAAAAGCACTCCAAAGTACTAACATAACACAATGGAAAATACAAAACGTTTTTATTTACTGTGACAGCGATTTAGAAAACCCACGCCACCTCCTGATTGGCTGAGAAACTGTACAACTAGGATCCATGCGCTGAGTGGCTGAGAATTGGTTCTTTGGCTGGAAATTCAATAAACCATCACTGGGTTATTTTGAAGTGTCAGTCCGTTCAATGGTCCACCCCTGAGAGAAGCGATTTTCAAAAGGAATGCGGTATGACAATACACAAAAGAGTTGTGATACCCATTAAGCCCATCCCAAACTCTTTTCTGTATTGCCACACCGCATTCCTTATAATCATGCTCCTCTCAAGTTTGGTGGGTACAACAGGGTGAGTCCAGTATACACAATGGATACTTGAGCGTGATAACGATTTCAATAGGTAAAGCAGACTCGCGGCATGGGTGCCGGATCCCCCCATCTCATCAGTGGGATCAGGAAACAATTAAATGCTGAACACTCACCTCCAGGCCCGTAGCCAGGATTTTGATTCCGGGGGGGGGGGGGGGGGGGGGGGGGCTGAGTCTGAGTGAAAGAAGGTCTACCCTAGCAAACCTTTTGTATCATTACCCCAATACCCCCATGCATATGGGATATATTGAGTATGGTGATCAGATCATGATATGAATAAACATAACAGTTTAAATAATGCACCAGTAAGGCCTTTTCGAGAACCACCATGAGAATTTGGGGGGGGGGCTGAAGCCCCCCAGCCCCCCCCCCCCCCCCGGCTACATGCCTGTCTCCCAGTTAGTTGTGAGAGGTTATAGAGATTGAGACAGGGATCCTGGGTGCAACTGGACAACATTCCAGAGGTGATTGTGTAACAAAGGTTAAGGAAAAACAAAAGACGAAGCCATTTGAGTCTCGCAGAGCTGTGGTTATAATTTTTTATAATTTTGTATAATCCATATTGGTGTGTGTCTCATTTCTCCATAACACTGCCTTTCTGGCAAAGGTGTTCAATTTTGTAATGCTAAATTTTGTAATGTAGATTTTGTATGCCAAACATTGGTCTGCAGTCTGTTATAAGCATTGCGATTTTTATTACAATTTCTGAGAAATAAATGCCATTTGTAAAAGATATTTCTGCAAAATATAGCAGGGATTATTCCCCTAAAATGTATTCCACAGACCAATGATGGGAAGCGTCTAGCTTTCCAGACACTGTTGGATCACAGTTCCCATTAGTTACAGATATTACAGTCTTTAATGCAGAATATTGGAATTGTAACTCCATAACATTTGTAGGACAACATATTCCAAATTTTTAATCCATGTTGTGGAGGGCTTACCATAATTAAATATATGTATGTATGTATGTATGTATGTATGTATGTATGTATGTGTCACACACACTCCCAAATCACCAAAGCAAAACCTTTTATATAGGGAAAACCATTTATACTTTGCCATTGTATAATTGGATGAATGCATTCAGAGAGTTTGATGTCCACAGAATACCCTGGAATCAAACCTCAGCAGATACGATATGCTAATAGTAGTGTATCTCAAGAGCTGATTCCTATTATGAAGATAACATCCCAGCAAAATTTGACAGCAATGTGTCCTTTTCAAAGTGACAATCACTAGAGTTGAGTAATTCCGTGTCTTAAATGAGAAGTGACAATTGTTGATATCCAGGTGGTTTTGGCCTACAGCTCCCTTCAGTCCTTGGAAGCACGGCCAGTCTGACAGGCATGTAGCCCGGGGGGGGGGGGGGG